GCCAATTAGGCATTGACAGTCCGTTAAGATCAGTATGTGCTATGTTTTCTCTTAGGGAGAGTGACTGGTCTCGAGTCATTGGTGTGATTGACACCAAGACAAACATGTAGGTGCTCAATAGAGAATGAGTTCACTGAACGCGATCAACAAGGAGTTCTCATACTCATGTCACATGATAACTCATGGTTAGGATAATGCAAAGTAGTCCTTTGACTTGAGGCATCATAGTTGTCTTGTGGTTAGGTCCTTGATCTTTGACTATGTCAAAGTCACTCCGTCAAAGGGTGTCCCATAGCATAGTTGGGGTTAAGCCACTTAGTCATGGAGGTAAGTGAATGCGCAACAAGGGATCTCTAACCTTCAAATCGTTTGAGGGAGAATACGCTATGATATGATTAAGAATCTCTAGCCAGAGTATGAATGAGATTTCGGAAGTCGTTCCAAATCACGTTCAAAGTAATCATATAAGTAAGAGAATCACATTGGATAGTAGACATGAATAAACTATCAAACCAAACAATGTGGTCAAGGGTATTGTATTTGAGAAAGACTGTATTGCATTGTAATCCTAAACTGAATAGGTTATCCATCTCTTTTGATTAGCTTGGGTAGCCATGATATACTGCTAGGTGTCACTCCTAAAGGTGTATAATCACTAAAGGGAGAATTGAAAGTACGTTTCAATTCACAATAGATTTGCAAAGTTCTAATCACCCACTGCCTCACTAAAAGGAACCTAATGGATCGTACACCGTGTAAGGTAGAGATTGAAGAAACAATGGAGATGAGTAAGGATAATTAAATGGTTTAATTATTTATGGCTAGGATTAATTAATATGTTAATTAATCAAACGAATAAGTTCGTATTAGACCTTGGGTTAGTTTTGGGCCTTAAGGTCCAATGGGATTTGAATGTCAAGTCCAATAACTCAAGTTGTATGACAACTTGAAAACACAAAGGGCTTGAAAGCCCAATAAACCCATCAAGGCCGGCCATAAGAGTGAGGGGTAGTGAACTTGGCTTAATTGCAAATTTGCCACTCAAATGTGAAGTGGTATAAATGCATCTTTATAGCTATTTCATCAATAGGGTTTTCTTTGAGGAAATTGGAAAGAACACAACCTCTCCTTTTCTCTTTAAGAGGCCGGCCAACCTAGAGGAAAATAGCTAGCAATCCTTCTTCCTCTAGGTCACGCATCTCTTCCTCAATGCTCTCTTTGGTGTGGAGACTTAGAGGTTCCCTATTTTGGGAACTTGGAGAATCCATTCCATCATTCATCCAAGAAGTCATGGAGCCAAGAAGCAAAGTTCCTCCATCCACATCCATGAAGTCAAGGGGCAAGGAGACCAAGGAAAGAAGGCCCTCACATAGGTGAATATCCTTTGCTAAGCAAAGAGGTGCTTCAAAGGTATAAAAGTTTCTCAACTATTTTCTTTAAGATTTGAGTTAAGTATTGGTTCACCACAATTACTAGGCCTTGAATTTCATGGGTAAAGTTTTGTTTTTGAGTGCATACAAGCATGATTCCGCCTTTTAATTGTTAATTGCATGCATAGATGTTGCTCAAGTGAACTATTTTTCACAAATATTTCCTTCACTTTTTTAGTCATTTTACATAGTCACAGCTGTTTTACATAAAAATTGACCAACGCTATAACATTGCTTTTTTTTTTTGCTAAAAGCACTTTTACAAAAAAGTTTACCAAACACTCTACTGCTTTATTTCACAACTATTTATTCTCACAGCATAACAGAAGCAGTTTTTTTTCAATGCATAACAATACCAAACCAGCCCTAAGTTATAACACCAAGGATGATTAAGGAAGAAGATGAATGACATAGGATGAAGAAGATTGCTAGCTAAATCCCTCATACGTGGCCGGCCTCCTAGATAGAAAGAAGGTAAAATGTTCTCTCATCTTTCCTCAAAGAAACCCAATGTAGGATGGAGCTATAAAGTTGCTTTTATAGTCATTACAAATGAGTGGTAAAATTGTAATTAAGTCCACCAACACCATCCCTTCTCTATGTGGCCGGCCACCCTTAGTTAATTAGGGTAATTTGCTCGTTTTATTTTAGTTCTCACACTACTTAAACCTTATGTGCCTTTTGGACCAAAACCCATTTGGGTCTCAAAATCCAAAACTAACTTAAGGCCTAACGAACATTTCATTCTTGATTAATTAACTTTTAATTAATATTTGCCATATACAATTAAACTATTTAGTTGTCCTTACTTATCTTCGTTATATCTTTCAATCATTACCTTACGCAGTGTGCGATTCATTAGGTTCCTTTTCGTGAGGCAGTGAGTGATTAAAACTCTTACTAATCGATTATGGAAACTTACTTTCAATTCTCCTTGAGTGATTATACATCTTCAGGGCTTCCACAAGTCATGAGTGACACCTTGCAGTATGTCTTGTTTACCCAAGCTAGCAATACGGTATTTCTCTAATACAATACTTTTGATCAATATGTGACATCGGAGTGAAGGTAAGATCATGGATCCCCAACTTCTTGTACCAATTTATAACTTCGGACTTGGTAAATTGTAATCTATTAGTATTGTGTGGGGGATCCTGAATCGGCAGATGATGTTCTTCCAAACGAAGGACTTAACAAACGCGACAATGATTCTTGTTAAAAGCTTCTCTTCTATCCATTTCAAGAAGTAATTTGTTGCCACTATCAAGTACTATATGTTTCCTAAGGCTTTCTTAAGAGGTCCTACTAAGCCGATACCCCATTACATGAAAGGCGATGAACATGTCAAAGTATTGAGTTCTTATGCGTGTTGATGGTTCATAGGAGCATACCCTTGGCATTTATCGCAACTTTGGGAGCAACTAATTGCGTTTTGCTGCATGATGGGCTAATAGTAGCCTGTAGTCATTGCTTTCTGGGCCAGCGATCTTCTTCCAACATGGTTTCCACATACTTCATAGTGGAATATCATTTAGAATTTGCAAGCCCACTTCTGGCGTAACACATAGAGTATAAGGCCTGGAATAGGAGCTTCAGTAGAGCTTTACGCGGATAATCAAATATCTTAAATCTTTTTGGACCAGCTTCCTAGCTAATTAGCGATCTTCGGGTAGTGTCTCGTCTCGTATATAGTTGATGGTTTCATCTCTCCAGTTTTCTCGAGCATCGATCACAACAATGACCTCCGACTATATTTCGTGGATACTTGAGATTTTCAAGAAGGGGATTGTTTGTCGAAGGGAGTAATCCACGTTTGAAGCTATCTTGGCTAGTGCATCAGCATGTTTGTTTTCTCCTCTTGAGATCTACATAATTTTTGTAGTTTTCAAATCTTTAGAGGAGTGTTTTGACCTTGCTTAGGTAGAGCCCTATTGTAGGATGATGGACGGCTTAATCCCATGTGACTTGATTATCTATAAGCATCGAGTCATAATGAACCAGTAGCTCTCTTACTTGGAGCTTTTCCGTGATCCTGAGTTCTACCAAGACTGCCTTATACTCCTTTTCATTGTTGCTTGCTTTGAACCCGAGTTTTAGAGCATGTTCAAGTATGGAGCCGTCTGGCATTTGTAAACCATTCCTACACATAATGACTGGAACAACCTTGCGAATGTCACAAACTTAACACTTTACGTTGTTCCACAGTCCACCCGATTTTGTGCATCAACAAACTCTAATATGAAGCCGAACATGTTAAACACCGATGATTAGTTCTGATCAAATTCAAAGAGAATCAGAATCAGCTTTACATTGAATTCAAAAAGTGCTAGTTTTGTTTAGACGAGGCCTCTTGAGACATGTGATCCCAGTAGATAGCATTCTTGTTAATCCCCAAAAGGTTGCATCTATGGAAAATTGGAAACTCTCAAAGTGTTGCGAAATACGAGACTTTCTTGGTCTTGCCAATTACTATTGGCAGTTTGTAAGGACTTCTCGACCAACCATAAAGCTAAGTGTTGTTTCACTCAACCGCTTGTCCTTATACATTTCGATGACAACAACAATTTCGAAATCTACAGTGATAATTCACTAAATGATCCTTAAAACAGGAGATTCTTAGAGATGAGAGCTGGCTAGCCAATCCCCATAATAACGAGGATTTTCCATGTAATCCAACAAGGAATCCATCGGCTCCATTCGCATCTTTTCATCACCAACAACATGCAACCTTGTTCAATGAAGCAACACTTATCCAGTGCAAGCCTAGAAGTTACATCATCAGCAGAAACTTATCCAGCCAGCCACTGCAAAATACTTGTTTATAGGGTAAATTACACTTTCATACCTCAGGTTTGGGGTCTATTTCAATTCCTTACAACATCTTCAAAACATTTCACTTTCATACCTTAAATACTATTTTATTTCAAAATAATATCTCCGACGTGGTTGCCACATATATGCCATGTGGCTGCCAAATGTCTGCCACGTGGCAAATAAAATAATTTTTTAATTTAAAAAAAAAACCTGAATTTAAAAAAAAAAAAAAAAAAAAAAAAAAAAAAAAAAAAGAGAAACCCACATCTGCAAGAAGAAGAAGAAGAAGAAGGAGGAGGAGGAATGGAGATGGGTCTGGCTAGGTGGGGAGATAGGTCGAGGTGGGTGGGGGGACAAGAAGAGGGTCACGGGGGGTGGTGGGGGTGGGTGGTTTGGGTTCTGGGAATTTGAAATCCAGTTCTAGGAATTTAAAACCCATTTCTTCTTCTTCTTCTAGGTCGTTGGGGGGAGGGGGGTGGGATGAACAACCTTTTTTTTTTTGTTTCTTTCTTCCTCCCTCTTCTTCTTCTTCTTCTTGCAGAAATGGGCTTCAAATTTTTTTTTTTTTTTTGAGAAAATTTTTAAAAAAATTATTTTTATTTGCCACATGGCAGACATTTGACAGTCACTTGGCATATGTGTAGCAGCCACATCAGCATATAACAAATCAATGGATGGAAAATGTAACAAAGGTATTATTTTGAAATAAAATAGTACTTAAGGTATAAAAGTGAAATGTTTTGAAGATGTTGTAAGGAATTGAAATATACCCCAAACATGAGGTATGAAAGTGTAATTACCCTTGTTTATATTAAAACTGATATAAAACCACATTCCGTGTGTATTCGATACCAAACAAAATATAACAATCGACCAATCTATTGAAAAGTTTAAGGTTTATAACCCTTTATATAAATCCTTTGACCTGCCAAGAATTTAGATCAGTTGACATACGAGCACCATTAAGATGCAGTCCACGTTCTTTTGCAGCGACCATTCTACAAGACCATACATCCGAAGCATGAAATCCTTTAGGGCCGATAGCTGTGACGAATTTACCTATAGTTATGTTTGCAGCCACGATTAGATTTTAACAGGAGTCATTAAGAATATGTAATGAATTTAGGCAGACTGTTACCTAAAGGAAAAATGAAGAAAATAATAGAGCAGATACGTACAATTGATGTGTCAATAAACCCAGATTTATGATACAAAAAATTCTTGGGACTCCATTGGGGATGACCAATATTGCACAAGTGATTCTACAGTCAACCTTCGTGTTGCACTAAGCATAGATATGAAAAATCGACAACCATCAATTTTGTATTCTTCAAGAGGATTCCTGTGCCCGAAACTCCTTACGTTTACCTGCCAGATATTCCATGTAAGCCCGTGACTATGTCCAAGCTAATTGAGATTTAAATCGACAAAAGATAAAGAATACCGCTGAGCTGAGCCTGTTCATGTTTACAAGATGATCCCTCCAGAAACAATCAAGGGTTTTCACAAGAACTGCTCTCTGTTTTCAGATCAATATTTTAGTCAAGGAAATTAACTATTAAAACAAAAATTAAAAAAACAGATAAACATCTGGTAAGATAATATGTAAGCAAATCTGGAATTTTTACACAAATCTTCTCATCGAAGTTTCATGAAAATACTACTATTTTAGGGCAAACTCAAACCCATTTGTTTACAACCATTAAGCATGCATCATATTTACGTTAACCATATAGCGACACAAATTCCAACTTAAGAGTGCTGGAAATCTTTTTCTTCTCAAACGCAATAATAATGATAAGCTAATAAATCAACGTTAGCATTCATCAAGGGAAGTGATTTCACACCCGTTTAGCTTCTCAAACACCCATCTTTATTTATGGGGCATCGGATTGAATAAGTCAAACGGAATCAACAGATATGATTAAACAAGGGTATGTAAGAGGCTAAAAAGGGTGTGAGAAAATCACTTACCTTCACCAACTACCATAGATATAAAAAGTAATAATGAATGATCGAAGAGAAGATTCTTACTTCCACTTCCTTAACATATCCATCATCATAACCAGATTCTTGAATAACATCCAAATATGAAGCAATTAAAAGATCTCCAAGGTATTTGCGGAGGAGGCTAGTAGTAGCATGGTACCGTCCATTCCTAAAGCAGACATATCAGGGAATGATAAAACTCATAATATTGTTAAAAGGAAAACAGAAACAACAGAAATGATACAAAATAAACGAAGCATTCCAAATTATGGGTATGTGTGAGGGACGGGAGCGTGCACACACAAGCAGAGAGTTCACTCACTTAGTCATATCATCAGAGCATATAGCAAGCCAGCGTTTCAATGAAGAGCTCTTCTTGCGGATTCCTCTCAGGGCATTTGGAGGTCTTGGCAAGTTTGGAAGGTGAATGTCATGAATATCTCTAGAGTTTAGTTCATGTGAGTCTGCTAGAGACTTTAGTAAAACTTCCTCTGTAATGCCTGTAAATGAATCTGGAGAAGCTCCATTCCATGAGGATTCATGTTAAACAAACAAGGAAATGCAGGAAAGGGATACAAATGTATCAGTTTACCATCCAGTAGTTTCCCAGAAATTGTCATAAACTCCTTCAAAAGCTTCCCCAAATTCCAATTTCTTGGATGCTATTAAGCAGTAGGGAATCAGTACGATGAATTAGGGGATAGAAGTATACAACAACCAATTGGAAATTCCGTACTACCTTCAGTGCATCAACGTTTCCAAAGACAATTTCATCTACCACTGCCTGCATGTACCTGTTAACGACTTTCAATGAGTTAATTAACAACAAAGATGCTGCAAAAAATTTGAAACTTGTAAAAACATATTAAATTATAATCATTTGGACATTAAATTAAATGGGAGAAATTAGTAAAAACAAGAAAGTGGAACCCAGCTAGATTTAACAAATCAAGCAGAGTGGTATAAAATATGAAACAGGCCAAGAAAGAGAGTAGCAACAATTAGCAATACAATTGCATGCTTTATCTGCCAGTTGTACACTTTTCAGAACACGAGTACTGAATGTTGTCACACTCGGCAAGCTTAAGTTTTCCGATGCTTCAGAGTCTCACACTAAAATAGTTTTCAATTATCTAAAGCTACTTTCAGGTAGATAATGACTCAGTTATGCATTCTGGGCACTCCATTCTAATTTTACGTATCAAGAATTCTAAAAGAAAGAGGTCTGAAAATTAAATTACAAGTTATCACCAATCTTTCTATAACCCGGTGAACCCTTTTTCTTTTGTTCCTTCTCTGAAACACACATTCACTAACAATACCCAAGTATTGTGTAACGGCTAAAGGATGTAACTTCAAACAAGCATGCTACTGTAAAATGAGTACCTTGAGTGTGGGACTTAGAAACTTACTGGTAAATGTTCTGGGAACAACTTTCATCATCACCCGTTAAAATGGACTGTCTAAGTTCATAGACATGCTTTCTCTGAACCTGGAAAAAGGGAACAACACAATTTAACGAACAAGATGCTGGGTTTTTCCAGCCCATGATGAGTTGTCCTAGGTCTATTAGGAATTATAGTCTTAGAGGATTAAATTGTTTACCCAATTGAAGTTGTTTTCCCAATTGGAGTTGTTTACCCAATTGAAGTTGTCTACCCAATTTAAATTGTTTACCCAGTTTAAATTGTTTACCTAATTGGAGTTGTTTTCCCAACTGGAGTTGGTTTCTCAATTGGAGAAGAATTCATAACCAGATTCCAATTAGGATTAGTAATCCTTATTGAATAAGACCTTGTCTATATTAGAAGGCTATTGCCAGCAAATAAATTGTGTACCACTCAAGGAGTTAGAGTGAAAGAATATTGTAAGGGCAAACTGTGTGCGAGAGAAAAGAAAGAGATAAGAGTAGAGTGTATTTCTTGTTCTTGTTCTTTCAGGTTTTTGGTCAAGTCTTAATCCTAAAGGCTTGGCAAGATTATCCGCTGTACTCATTATTGATATGGTGAAAGATCGTTGTTACTGCCCCATGGACGTAGGCACATATAGCCAAACCACTTTAATGCTTTGTGCTATTTATCTTGGTTATTTTGTTTTCGATTTCCAAGTTGTCTTGTTTTTCCCATTTTTAAACACGATACAACACAAGCAAGCAAGGGTCATCATCATTTAAGCTTGACATGCAAGTAAGAAGGACCCTTTTTTCCTATTTTCCAGTTTTGAATTTATGCAAGTAACTTACCTGCACAACGCATCACCTAAAGTTTGCTAACTAATGATAAAGATATACCTGATTTAGTACTTAAATCGTAGAAAAGGGATACAATGTCCAATGGTTACTCCTCATGGAAATTTAGGGATTACAAAGTTTATTATACTGCTCTCCAGTGACGAAAGTTCAAAACTGAATAATAAATCAATGTGATTAAGAACAAGTTTGCTCAGTGTTTGTAAATAGTGCAGCAGTTACTACTCCAATAAAGACATTGTGTTATTCATAAATGCATACCTCTAATACTTCATCAAACTCAACAAGGCTCTTCCTTATGCCAAAGAAGTACTTCTCTGCATTAACTTGCAGGGCCAGTAGCTAAAATTCACAAGTATTAAGCAGATACTTTTAGAAACAAAAGAGAGTGAACAATAATGTGTGAGATGATTAACTGAGAGGTCGCCAAGCACGCTTAAAATATCAGAGAAACGGATAAGAACATCATTGACAAGAGATCACGAATTACCTGTTTAACAATTGCACCACCTTCAATTGGCATATCCTCATCATTTGTAATTTTGGAAATAAGTCTCACAGCCCACTTAGTGTCAAAATTAAACTTTTGAAACATCTCATCCTGCAAGCTATTACATAAATGAACAAATAATAAGGCATGGAATAACCATGAGTTTTACAGTCAAGAAAACATGCGCAGTTCAAGACCAATGTGGGCCAGCTCTTAGACTTGCAAAAACCACCAGTTGGAACAGAAGGTTGCATGGTCCAGTGTGAACCAACAATAAAGATGACTGAAATCATGATCAATAAACCAGTCTGACTGGCCATTACATTGATTGAGATGAAGCAATGTTGACCGAGCAGAAGTGAGCTATGACAACTTGGTAAGGTTTTATTACAAGATAATACCAACAGACATGAACAGACCACAGATGCTATAGACCCACCACAAATCATGTCTTTGTGCGACCATATGAATACTGAATCCATGTAAGCCTAACCCGCTGACGAGTGAATTACCTCACCATAAATCGTGTGGATCCAGGATCACCTTGCCTTCCAGCTCTTCCACGAAGCTAATGTAGTAAAAACAAAAAACATTATCATGATAATCAAAATAAAAATTGTCAAACGAAAGAAACAACCAATATATAAAGAAAACTCTTGGCAGTTCCCAAAATGGAATTGGATGACCACATCAAACTATATTTAGCTCATGCATAAGTCCATTCTTCATGACCAAATGGTAAATAAATATGAATACAAAATGTATGCCAAAAACAATCACCTGGTTATCTATTCTGCGAGACTCATGCAAAGATGTTCCTATCACATGAAGACCCCCAAGATTTTTTACTTCAGACCCTTCTTTAAAACAGTGTACCTCACAATCCTTCAGAACAGACAGATAAGCAAGTGCAATTGTAGGGCCAAGAGGGTACATCTCCGACTGTTCATCAACAAGCGTCTCTAAATCTTTCAAATCTTTTGACTGACTCATTTCCACTGACTCTGATATCATAGATTTTGCCTCCTTATATGTCCAGCTCTTGCCTTCATTTTTGCAAACATACTTGGCTGCAAGATGCATAAGAGAATATTAAGAAGTTGTTCGGATTTTAATTGGAAACTAGTTTATACTTTTCAAAGAAGATGAAACTAACTAAATTACTTAATACCCAATGGTTTCAAAAACAAAAAAATTGGATCCAAGAATGATACCAAACAGGCTCTAAAAGATTATGATTACAGATTGATGACTAATGTGCATTTGTAAAAGCATAAAATATTTTTGGTGAGAGCACAGTCACAAACCCATTAGTGCTGTCTTAGCGAGAAAAGCTAATGATGATGGACCGACCTTTATCTTGGACAATACCTACAACAAATGATTAATTAGAAACAGATTCAAATTGGCATGCAGCTTAAAGGATCAACAATGAATCACCTTTTGTGAAATTGCCTCTCCATCAACATCAACATTTGGAGCTTCTCGTGTCAGGAACGAAATTAAACTGTCTTCTATGATCTCTTTTGCAAGCATCTTCAGTCATTGCAAGTACAAAAGGAATTAAACCACTGTTTAGTTTCTACTTATCCACACTGAGTCCAGACAAAGATGCATTAGAGTAAAGGATAGATGCATATGCATGAAGTACATGTTTGAATAGATTCCTGAAAATAATGTGTAGGTTCATTTAGAATAAATTAACAAGGAAAAAGGCACTTACTTTTGGATTTCCTCCCAGAATTATGTCAGTGCCTCTGCCAGCCATATTGGTAGAAATGGTAATGGCATATTTTCTTCCTGCTTGGGCAACAATTTCAGCCTCCCTTGCAGCATACTGATGAGAGAAGTGCATAAACACAACGGCAATGTAAAACCAAATTGTCAAATGAGATTATAGTTAAAAAATAAAAATTTATAGACCGCCATGTGAAAGCTCCAATCAAGTTAAATTTCAATAAACCTTAGGCCGTGCATTTAGAATATTGTGGGGGATATTCTGTTCCCTCAGCAGATCAGACAAGTACTCAGAATTCTCAACACTGCATTATTAAAATGAGAGATCATAGTTATAAATCTGCTGATCTCTGCATACTCAAGACATGAAGTCGACCAAATACTAGTATCTCCTCCTCATGCATAAACTTATCCAGTGTAAATATGATTTAGTTTAACTTTAATCCAATAAACAAGTCATTTGGATCAACGATATGCCATTTGGTCCAAATACCATTAGAATTCTTACAAAAGCACATGAAACAACATGCCTCCACAGATATAACCATGATGACAAAGTTTGAAATAGAGACTGAAAAAGTTTCAGCAGCTTTATCTGAATCACGAATCCTATATATTTCTGATTCAACCCTCCACCATGACCATGACCTAAGTAACTAACATACACGGCCATGACAATTATAAAAGTCAAAACAGATATATAATTCAGCATCTGGGATGATATAAAAGGTACCAAAAAATGCTTGACTATCAATGATATAATGCAAACTCCTCTTGGTCACAAAGTACAAAACTTCTAAAGTTTAACATGCATATGATTGCTGAGTCACTGACATAAGAAGGTTATAACATGGCAGCCGCTTTATTATCACAGAACCAGATGCAAGAATTTAAACATATTAAATTAGATTTACCTGGTAGTTCCAACCAAAACAGGACGCCCCTGTCTGAACATGTACTCCACTTCTTGACGAACATATTCCCACTTTCCTTGAGCAGTCTAAAATAATACAAACCGAAACCTTCTGTCAAGTTGACGATAGAGTTTATTGGAATTTCGAGGTATAGAATTTATAGACATCAGATATACTTGAGGGTGAGCATTAAATATCCTACCGCAAAAGCTTGAATTGGTAAATCATTACGAATGTTTGGAAGATTTGTTGGCACTTCAATGACTGGCACTTGAAACATCTTCAAGAACTCTTTCTCCTGAAATTATTGAAGGGTAGATTTACATGAATATGCAATTATGAATACAAGTTAACCAAAAAATTTACTTTGAAAAATACATCAGAATGCTTGTAAACGACATACTTCCGTTTTTGCAGTTCCAGTCATTCCTGACAGTTTTGGGTAGAGCTTGAATAAAGATTGATAAGTGATTTGTGCCACAACAACCGAATCAGCCTAACAAGTACATTGATATTACAACTTTGAACTAGGATGGTATATACATCATGTAATGAATTGCAGTGAAAAAAAAGAAAAAAAAAGAAAAACCTTCAGGTACTAGTTGCCAAACATTTGGATGTACCTGAATCTTCAAGCCTTCTTTAGCTTCCACAGCCTGATGAATCCCCTCAGACCACCTTCTCTTCTCCTCAACTCTGCCAGTCAGCTGTAAATATTTTAAGAACTTTGAGTTTCTAATGAGTCACTTAATTTCTACTTGTTTATAAAGTGCACCATCGATGAATTTTTGATCCACATTTATTTCAATGATTCTATTCCTTCTGTCATCAATATAAGCCACTCAATGATTGGATCAAAGACAACTCAAAATTTATAAAAATGGAATTTGGGATAATCAACTTATCAATTGAGGAAAGTGAAATGTTGAATTGGTCTTTCCTTAATTCACTTAGGGTATCTAAAATTATGATGCATACCACAGTTTATCTTTTGTATATAATAGTCTGCCTAATAAAAATATAAATCATACCTCATTTATTATGAGAGCCTTCCCATTTCTGACAATGTATTGCACACCTTGACGATAGAACTCTTTAGCCTTCAACGCATTCATCACAAATCTACATATTTCAAATTTCAATGCTAAAAAAATAAGTTGAGACAAAAACACACACCTTGATTGCCTATTGGCCACATTTTAAACTTCAGTACTTGCTAATAATTGCTGATGGTAGGTCAAACAATTGTGATAATTTAACGGAGAAGGTCTATTATATGCCTATCACTCTCAGGTGTGTTATGTGTAAACATGGAGCACAGGGCTTAACTTGTATAAGAACGGTTGAGTTTGATCATTACCTAGCCCAAGGATCATTTTCATCCCACAAGTCATTTGTTTCAAGGGCCATCTCAGCAAGAGCTATTCCTTCTTCAGTCAACTCAACTGAATTATCTTTAAGTTCTACATTGTAATGCTGTAATGTTGGTGATTATGAAACATAAAAGTTATTCTCAACATATCAATACCATATCGACATGATATCAATAATACAGAATTAGGGATGACACATTGACGACATATTGAGTATCCCACTCCATGACAGTGGAGCAGGATCCCCTTCAGAAGTTCTCCCTCCTATTCCTATATATATATATATATGCGTGGGAAAACAAATGAATAGCTGCAGAAAGTTCATCTGAAAATAATAGGAAAGACTAATCTCACAATTCCTCGCACAAGCAAATCTGCCACTTTAGCAGCCACAGGATAGCGTGCAGCATCTTTACTAGCCTGAGAAGGACAAAATTTAATAATGAATGTGTACAACAATGAGATCTTTTTACAAATGAAATTACACATTACCATACCAGATTAAGCTACTATTAAAAGAAAAGAAAATCAGCATTCAAATTATAACATAAAAAATATAAAATGGAAACCTTACAAAAAATTTACCTCCCCACTAATTAGCAATGGATTTCGTCCTTCGTCAATAAGAACTGAGTCAACTTCATCAACTATTGCAAAATGAAATGGCTTTGGCCTGTTTTTACAAAGTAAAACTGCTGACATTAGAAATAAATAAAAAAACATGTATTCATGAACTAAAATTATTTGAGATGTACCATTTCATAACAAGCTGTCCACTGTTTCCAGCAAGGTTATCTCGTAGATAGTCAAAACCAAGTTCCTGAGTGAATCATTATGAATGAGATATCAGGAAGACAGAAATTTTCTTCTTCTTTTGTTTTGGTGGGAACAAACTAACTAGTAATCATCTACACCATGACTAGCAAACATTAGAAAGAAAAACAAAAGGTTTCTATGCAACTACCACAAAGAGTAATGCAAATAATACCAACAAGCAGTAGAAATGACTTACTGAGTTATTAGTGTATGTTATGTCACAGCTATAGTTGGATCTCCTTTCTTCAGCTGTCATCCCCCTCTACATTGGAAATAGGAACTCAAATAAACATTGAATTAAATACATAAATAAATTGAAGTGTATCCAAGTTAAACAACTGCAGGCCGCCATGTCTCATAATTAGGAATCAAGTCTATTGCATACAGATTCACATGGAGAGGAAATTACCTGAACAAGACCCACAGTAAGGCCTAAGAAGCGATGAACACGACCCATCCAGTCAGCATCTCGTTGTGCAAGGTAATCATTTACGGTTACCACTGTTTCAACAGAGAGCAAATTATGGAATTAAATTTTGACAAATGTACACGATAAGGAAAAGTACAAACAATTGGGCATTCCACCCATTGTACAACTACACTTGCAAACAAATAAAATTCTTCTATAAGATCCAACACAGAAAACATACCATGAACACCTTCACCTGTCAGGGCATTAAGATATGCCGCCAAGGTGGAAACCAACGTTTTTCCCTCTCCTGTTTTCATTTCTGCAATGGACCCATCATGAAGCACCGCCCCACCAATAATCTGGTGTTAACATTGACAACATATATAAACAAACAAAAATATTAAGTTGACAATTTACACATAAATTACATATGTAGAAACTATATGTACAACCGCAAATGTAATCATGAACGTAATGAAAGCGAGAAATAGGAAACCTGCACATCAAAATGACGCATACCAAGCTTCCTATTTGCAGCTTCACGAACAACAGCAAAAGCCTCTGTAAACATTATAATTCAAGAAACAGAATTACTCCAAAAGTTTAGAATCCAATTAAAATAATGGACAATCTTCTAGTAAGCAGAGAAGATTTGGAACCAGCTTGGATATCAGCAAGTGTCTCCCCCTTTCCCAGCCTTTGCCGGAACTCCGCAGTTTTAGCAGTAAGCTACAAGAAACAAAAACAACCCAGTTTTCAAAAAGCCAAAAGAAATCCAATACAACAAACAAACAAATAGAACGAAACCACCAAACCTGGTCATCAGAGAGACTCTGTACTTGAGGCTCGAGCGCATTTACAGACTTCACAAGGCGGTAATAGTCCCGAACAACCCAGTTGTTCAAACTAGTGACATCACTCCAAGTTTCCCTTATAAGACCCAAGTTTTCCTAAATCAAAGAACAACCCATTCACGCATTTCATCAAACAGATGATGGGCAATTGAGTAAAAGAAAAAAGCGTACTGAAAGACGGAGGATATATAAATTTACCTTAATAGAGGCAGCAATGGGTTTGCTTCTGAGCCTGAGACGACGTCGTGGAGGCCGAGAGAAGGTAGAAAACGAAGAAAAGGAGCGGGCTTGGTCGGGGAGGACGGAGGTGGAGAGTTGTGAGAGAGGTTTAAGGGATAGGAAATAGGGGTTTTGGAGAGAAGGCAGGGCAGCCATAGCTATGGAGCTCTCTCTGGGATATGCAAGTGCAGAAGCCGAGTAGGAAGCGGGAACTGGTCAGCTACGATTCTCCCTCCAGTGAAGACTACAAAATACATACAATATTAACATGTGTGTTAAATACAATACAATGTATTTAACGTAATTATCGTCTAACCGCCAAGATGGTGATTATAGTTGTTAGGGCCCAAAAATGTAACGCTCCAATCCAACCAAGTTCCAAGGCCCAATTATTATGCAAAGCCTATATTCAAGCCCAAACACATGCCAAGGCGCATGATCAACGAGGAATATATTTACCAACATGGCATGCTATGATGTTTAAGCCAAATATTCACAACATGCTTCCTTAGCCACAATTCATGTTAAGCCCAAGTCACATATTTCGGGCTTGTCAAGTGGATTGTGATGTGGATGGTTATGAAAGGTTATCGGGCCTACGTGAAATTGGGGTCATGGAAGGCTTTGGGCTGCTTGGGAGCCAAAAGATCCAAGGCCATACCCTTTGCATTTCACGTAGGCATCATTGAGAGAGAACTAGCCTAGTTTATCCTTTTCCCTAGCAAAGCCAACCCCCTTGGTTATGATTAAACTAGTTTCTTGCATCAAATGCATGTTAAGCCTAGTAAATCAGGCATTTAATGCTGACTTTCCCTTCCCAGCTTGCACAGATAGCTAACGTGCAAAAGCCATGAAGCGTGCTACCAGATTTGCACTTGCAGAAGGCCACCCCTGGGAAAGATACACCTCAGGGAGCAGTAATCTGTAGGTCTCAAAAGTGCAGATAGTTTACACCAAAATGGAAATAATAGGATGGCTAGGAAGAAAGGAGAGGAAGACCAAGCCACAAGGGGATATTCCCTTGAAACCTAGAGAAGAAGCCTTCACGTACATAAGGAGGGAGAGAAGCCATTAGAAGGGGATTCAGATTAACTGAGAGGAGGAGATAGAGAAAATGTAGTGCAAGAGAACCACGAAGAAAGAAGCCCAAAAAGTTCCATTTTAGTCCAAAAGCATACTCCAAGTCTCAGTCATCACCATTGATGCAACCTTGGCAATTTCCACAAGCCTGCTATCAAACATCGCAACCATTAGAAGCCTTGCTAACACCATAGGAAAGCTTAAAACATGCAGCTAAGAATGTCATGCAACCATGCCAACCTCCTCTCTCTCATGTAAATTGATAATCTTCTAACTTCCACACCACGCTCCGCTTGAGCAAGTTATTATCTTGATCTTTCATGCTATCTTCGAGCCGTTGATGTTACCGAAGTATTTCTTAAGACAAGCTAACTCTTTCGAGATATCTCGGGACTTGTTACGAACCTGTACCAAGGGAGACAAGAGGACGTTCTCAAAGCCTAAGTCCACCTCGATCTAAATGTCCCCCAACAATAGCCAAATCTAGGAAAAAAAAAAAAAATATTTGAGTCCAAGTTGGTGGGTTTTAAGCCTCAAATTGTATACTTGAACATGTAAACAATTTGAGATCAAACGTTAGCGTAATTGCATTGGTTAGAGCGCACATGCTGCCTTATATAATTATATTCGAATCTCCTCACTACGATTTAAATTAGTTCAGTATAGTATAGAATATCAATTCAGTCTCAAATTGAACTGATATACAAAACCACCAAACTGGTTCAGTTTACCAGTTTGCACGGTTCTTTTGGATGTCGACCCAGCCCTAAATCTTAACGGGACGTTAGGAATTTCTTACATGTCCATCGTTTAATCATGTATGTAAGCAAGGTGCAATACTTCAGGCAAAACACGCATCGTTACGACTTGTATTAGTATATACAATCATCATTTCTTCTTATCAGAAAACTATACATAAATAATCATATTTGTATCAAATGTTTCTCTGTCGTGAACTCTTGTATCGTATTTATATGACCAGCATTTTGACAAATATATTGTGTCACGCTCTACACGAAATTGTGTATCTGCAGGACTGCTAGGGTGCAAAGCAGCAAACATTCCCAGTAGCACGATGCTTGTCTATGACTCCATGCCACTCTCTGAGTGGGACTTTAAACTTCGTACCATCGAGGATACACAAATCTGGTGTTAGATTTCCTGGCTCAACAAGTACTTGGCATTGGCTATGGCTAAGCTTTCCACAGACGAAAACAAACCCAGCACAACAGCATACCCATGGTTGGTCATTTACCATAGTAAGATACCTGTAGCAACCAAATTAAGATATCCAATTTACCGTGTCATAAATAAAAAGGGAATTGAACAAAATCATCGTTGAAAAAGAAGTGAAAAGAAGAGAGCAAATTGTGTAACTGGTTACCGCAATGGAAAAATATGAAACATACCACGATATTCCTATTAGCACATCCAACAAAAAGCTTTCCTTGCCAACCTAACAAAGTTGTTATGACAGAATCACAGGGGATGGATCCAATAAGTCTCGAGTCTATTTGGAACTCGTCGCCAGACAATTCCTGTGACACGCAAATGAATTTGCATGAGTTCAAAAGTTTGATAACATAGCAAACCAGCTTCATCACATAAAAATACTGGAAATAAAATAAAATAGGATGAAACCATATTTTGCACATGTACCTGTACATTGACAGTTTTATCCAACCCTCCCGTGAAAAGCCATTTTCCCTCCATGCCAGAAGCAAATACTGCACCGTTGTGCATTTTAATGGATTTCATGAACACATCATTCCTCCAGACCTGAAGAGATCCGAAAAAGAAAAGGCAATTTAAAAGAAAAGTTGATCAGAATGACAATGGTCGGGTTGATTAGTCCATTCTACAATGCCAACTTGAAAACTTGAATGCTACGGCGATCAAAACCTTCGGGACAAAACTTAGTATATAACCTTAACTAGTTTTAGGGTCCTGAATGGATTCATGTATGTTCATCCTCAGCATGGAATTTACCCCATACAGCAGGAGTCATATCTTAACTATACGTGGTAGGATATCAAAAGACTAACTTGAGATGCAATCTATAAATGCCCAAATGAACACATAATTCTAGCCCGGATCAAGTAAGAATAGGGGTAAAAAGAACACCTTTACACATCCATTGTCATGAGTTGCAATAAGCATGTGCCTGTCAACAGCAAGAGATAAGACAGAGGCCACGTTTCCTGATGTGTCTTCGCCTAGTACTGTCAAAGGACTGTGATCGCTAAGACTCCATAATCTGATGGTTCCATCCCAACTACCGCTATAAAGAACACCATCACAAACTGCAAGCGTTGAAACTACTGATCTATGACCAGACATAGTGCATGACAAGGTGCCATCCTGAATTTTTTCAAAAGAGAGTTTCTTCCACATAAAAAAGAGATGCATGCCAGTAGAAAATAACAGACAACATAAATAATGCAAACCCCTCACCCGCATTGACCATGCCTTTACTGTTCTATCTCCGCTGCCAGTATAGACATATCCATTTCGGCAGGCCAAGGCATGAATGCCACTAAAGCGCCAATCTTTATCCTCGTGGAATGTCTTTAAAGGCTCTTGCCGGAGAGGGGTACATGTGCCCCAGACAAATATACCACCTCCACTGTCACCACTAATGCACAAGGGTTGCTCTTCATCTACATAAATTAGAGCCTTGATGGTATGTTCATGGCCCTTAAATGTATGTACATGAGAGAAGTCCTACATGAAAGTTGCACTGACAAAACTTAGCGAAAGGGAAACATGGAGAAAATTAAATTGATATAAATCACCAAATTCAAACTATATGAAGTCCAACTTATACTCTAAGAGGCCAAACTCCAAAAGGTTGGCTTCTTGTGTGAATATTAGGAAGCACACAAACAACATAATCAACAGTGCCCGCTTGTCAAATCATTTATGATATCAAGCATGCAATAAACAGATTAATAGAAACAAAGCTGCATTTATAAGTTACGACATAAGAAGAAATTATATGGAAGATGTGGTAGCAGGCACTCATGTTTGTGCATTTCAAACAAAATTATTATTAGCAACAGTGAAGGTAAAATGCTAACACACTCATCCATGCGCTCTCAAGCGCGCGCACACACACACACAATTAATTACATGAAAAAACTAACTCCAAAAAAGACAACCATTTCAGTCTGTACCTGCAACGACCATACATGGATAGTTTTATCGAACGAGGAGCTAAATAGAAAGTCCCCTACAAAAAGAAGTAAAATCCATATTAAATTTCACATACTTGATGTATAGAAAAAAGTATGCACTGAGTATGACAAATGTTCAGTTTACATATTCTTCTCTTGGCTGTCCGAGAGTTATGCACCATTGGAAAAGGAAGATGCCAAACTGAGGGGATGTTTGTTGTTTCACACAAATCACTTAACACATCTTAACGTAAGTTCTATGATGCTTTAGGCTTGTTTAATCATCTTAAGATGTTTTTTAGATAAAAAGATATACACACACACACACACACATTTTGTTTGCTTTCGTTAAAATTTAATTGTTTGATCAGTTTATTGAACATTTTAGTCTCAAACCTGCCCTTCCATCATTCTTCGTTTTACAAGTCATATCCACAAATTCTTTCTTCCCTAATCGAACAACGCCCCCTCCACCTAACTGGTTGATATTTCCCTCACCTTGTGTCGCCCAAAAAAGGAACACTTCTATTAGTTTCAGCCGTCTGTTGGAATTCTTAGAACCTAATAAACAAAATGGGCAGACTACTGCAGCATAAACACTGCTTAACCGAAACAGCATGAGATGTGCTACCTAAAAAGTATTGTGTAATGATTATACCTCCAACAGCTAACCCTGTAATAGCATCACGATGACCCTGCAGAACTTTAAACTTGACCTTTCCCCCTGATAGGCCATCAAAAAAATCACTGTCAGCCCTCTCATCCCCAACTTGATCAAAATCTGATCCTCCACAGATTTCATTTCCTTGCAGTCCATTTTCTTTTGGTGTTTCTAATATTTCCTTGCGTGTCCCACAGAGTTGCCCCAGAATCAAGCAAAAGCTTCCACTATCTTCCTTAATCACCCCCTCCAAACTGGCCATGATATCACATTGCGGCTTAATAATCAGTTCCCTGATGCATTTCATCAGATCCATCACAAGTGGGCGACTTGCTGGATCATAATTCAAACATTGGCAGAGGTTTTCCCTTAGGGATGCATATTCCTGACCCAATCTCCCTTCGATCAAAGCACGGACTCTTTCAATCCAGCTTACATAAGTTACATGGTCAAAAAAAGAGATTCCACAATTCTTCACAAGCTCTTCATCAAACTCTTTTCCAAGTAGCAGTCTTAGAAACACACAGGCTAATGACCAAACATCTGAGCCACATCCAACCGGATATCTCGAGCTATCACATTCTACTGCAACGCCCTGTTTCTGCAACAGCTCAATCAACACCTCCGGGCTAACAAAATCACCATCTTTAAACAAATTCCAAAATGCCACTTTCAATACTTCAGCATCAGTTGATTCAGTTCCTATTCCACCAGAAACAGAATCTACAACACTTCTCCATACCTTCCTTCCTGTCACTAACACCTGATTCAAATCCACCTCAACGTGACCAAAATCATCGAAACTAAAGCACGAAAAACCAAAACATCCAGCAACAAACCCCTCTGAATTCAAACCAGACACCACCTCACACACCTCCATAGCAATCATTGCAAATGCAGGCAACCCATCTTTAGTAAAACCATCCTCCCCAGCTCCCAACTTCCCCAAAAAACTCCGATTTCGCCTCTCACACCCCAAATACAGAAACCCATCTTCCAAATTTCCCCAAAAGCCATAAACTTTACACACTCTCCTACAATGCCTCACAGAAACTCTCAGCAGCAATCCCATTTCGTTCCTCTCTTCCTCTCTCATTCCACTCAAACACTTCAAAACCCTTGCAGTGTAACTGAATTCAAACCCAGAACTATCCGAACCCGGTAACGAACCGACCCGAAAAAGGCTGACACTCTCGTCCTCTCTAAACCAAACCCGACCCGACCCGAAACCAGAACCAGTTCTTCCTTTCAACACAGTACAAAGCTCATCTCTCGTTCCATCATCAACCTCGGTTTCCACCGAAACGGCGTCGCTTGGAAGCACCCAGTCCTTCCACGTGACGTAAAACTCGTCGGACCAAATGCACGGCAAGAAACTACCAAATCCATCGGCCGATTGTTTATGGGGTGTTTGGGAAATACCGGAATTAGGGTTAGGGTTTAGTGAGAGGGAGAAAGAGAGGAGGTCGATGTTCTTGGGCAGAGCTGTGGGTCCCTGCGGAGGGTACTTGACGAGCTGGGTGCACGCCGGGCAGCGAATCGTCTCGGGGTACCGCTCGGGCAGCCTGACCAAACAGGCCTCGCACGCCGAGTGGCCGCACGCGAGTACGCGCGGAATTGTGGACTCGCTGTCGTAGTTCTGCAAACACACCGGACACTCCGGCAACTCCGGCGACTCCATGTCTCCTTCACAAGCCAAACGACATCGTTTCGAGATTATATTACACGTTTGGATTTTTCTTCTTGTTGGACCTTTTATTCCGCTTAGTTTTGTCATATTATCGAAACTACCCTTCACACATATATAAATCTCTCTCTCCGCACTTGCTGAAACTCGAGTTTGCTGTTCGCGTCGTGACGGAAGGGGGATCTAAAGAGCTCAGCAGTAGCTACGCTTTTGTAAGGAGGTCCGAGGTACGTTTTCTGTTTGGTTCCCGAGAAAATTTAATTCGCGCCCAAATGAGCATTGATTATTTATTTCTTTTTCTTTTTTTTTTTCAACTTCTGGTGGATCACATAGGAAATTCTGACATACTTTAGAAATCTGTACTCAAATTATTGTTTTGGGATCGAAAATTCAGTAATTTTATTCGATTTTAACGGTAAAGATTTGATTTTTAAGTATACAAAGCAAAGAGATCTGGTGGGTTGCAAACCCTTTTTCCCTTTCTTTTGAATTATGTGAATTTTTTTTTTCATTTATTTACTTATATTTCTGCAATTGAGCATTTCTGGGGTTTTTGTTGTTGATATTGTTTCATGTGGTCAGCTAGGAGGCCATGGCGGGGCCGGGCAGTTCGATGCTGTATTCCATCCTTCTGTTTACTGTGATTCTATCACTTCAACAGATGTACAGAGGGAAGTTAGCATCAACGGAGTTGTTTACCATTCTTGGGGGTTTCATTAGTTCTCTCCTATTTCTTGCGCTGCTCACCGTAAGTTCTAAACCTCATTGTTTCAAAGAGATTGTATGATTTGTTCTCTTGTATGTCAAGATTATACAGTTATACTTATCGGCGTTGGTTTCTGCTATTGCAGTTCATTGGCAATTTCCAAGAAACAAGTGGTGTAAGGACTGGCTGGGGTGCGGGTGAGTGTCTGTTAATTTCTTTTTTATTTATTTAGTTCTTTGAGAGTCGGTGTGAACTGGAATCTTCTGAAATTCTATACATGTCAAGGAAGATTCATGCTTGCAGTTTGTTGGATTTGACAACATATCTAAAGTTGTTGAAACACATTGAATTTTTAACGTAAATGAGCCAGCGGGGAGACACAGAACTTTGTGCACAACCTAGGTTTCTGCATCTTGGTAACCTATTTGTCAACTCTCATAATGGCTTGCTCCTTGACATCTCTAGGTTTCCAAGCCTCTAGGATTAGTACTTGACAATATAAAACCTGAAAGAACAAGAACAAGAACAAGAAATACACTCTTATCTCTTTTCTTTTCTCTCGCTACTACTTGAGTGGCATACAACTTATTGTTTTGCTTCAATTCAAAACTAGTGCAGTAGTCCCTTTATGTAGACATAATTAAGGTCATCTTCAATAAGGAATACTCATCCTAATGGGAATTTAGTTATGAATCCTTCTCCAATTGAGAAACCAAGACCAATTAGGAAAACCACTCCAATTGGAAAAACAAGTTAATTTTCTAACACTATAAATCCTAATACACTTAGGACAACTCATCATAGGCTGGAAAACCCAACACTTATTACATATTTCTTTGAAGTTTGTAGGACGAAGGAAAAAGAAAAAGGATTTTCTAGTGTTTGGGAAAATTAGAAACAAAATTACAGCGATAATGCAACTCTTTTATTCTAGTAACCTATTATACAAATTTTCTAGTGTTTGGCTTTCGTTGTGAGGAAGGAAAATGGAGATGGATGAAACATAAAGCTGCATGAAAGTTTCTTGCATGACTCAAAATGTTTCATGTTGAAGTTTTGTAAATGATTTTTGTTGTAAGGCTCATAAATAATCTGACCTCGCTTCAGTTGGTTGTGCAAGCGTAGCACGTATGAGTATAAAAGTTTTCAAACTCAATCTTTGCGTTATTTCTATTTAATTTATTTGTGGTAGCTTCTGAGAAGTGTATCTGTGAATGAATCTCAGTGCTCGAGTTTCTAATCAGAATGTATTCACCAAAATTATTTATTTTTCCTGTTTGCAGTCATTATAGCTGAAGTAATTGCTCTTATTGCTGCTGGCACTGTGCATCGAGTTTGCATCACAACATGGTAAGTGCATGTAATCAAGTATTCTGTGAAAAATATTCATGCGTCTTGTACTCCTGATCCTGAGTGCATTTTCAAAAAAAGAAAATAGGAAGAGGGGGGATTTGAATTCAAAATATTTGACACAGAAGCCAACATGCCATATGATTGACTGCACAGCTTTTTTGAGTGTCTAGACTCTTGGACATGCCGTTAAGTTGTCTTGGAGATGTATATTGACGACAATGCTAACGATCCAATTTTACCATGCAGTTTCTTGTTTTCCGCTTGCTTACTCTATGAGGTCAACAAGCTTTCAGGGATAATGCTAACCAAAAGTGAATCTAAAACGAAAAGGTACTGAGCGGAATTCTACGGTTTAGGATATGATGGTCTGCTGTTCTGTAATTTTGTTGTTTACTTTCCTAATGAGGTATAATTTAGAGAGAGAGCAAAAAGGAGTATCATTTTAATATGTTTCAGATATTTTTCAACCTTACAAACCCGAAAGATGTTATCTGTTGCTTGGCTGCTTGTTACAGGATCATCCACCTACCATCACTTCCTTGCTTAGTTACTTATCTGCTTTATGCCTCTTCTGTCTGCATGTTGTCAACAAAAAAATTTCAGACAAGCATGTGCTTTTCACTTTTCAGTAGGGATGGTTTAATCATCTCGCAATTGTGCAATTTTGCAATTTTGTGAAACCCTAAGACCATCTAGTTTCTCAACAACAGACAGCAAAAGCTGCATGAAAGTTCACCAATACTTTGACGTGTGCATGCTCGGTACAAACTGCTTCAACTTCATGCACTTCCAGACTTGACGAAAGACACTAAATGCCTCCTCAGTCTCTTGGAGTAAACCTTTAGAATTCGTATCGTTTGAGGCCCTATGGACATTCTTGAACTTGTTAGCCTTACAAAAAGCGTCGATCAGCGCATTGTACACAACCACATTAGCCCTGATTCCATTCCTTCCATCTTCAAGAATGCATCAACAGCATCTTCACCCTCCCTGCCTTGCAAAGAACATCAACCACGATACCATAAGTTACCATATCAGGATTACAACCCACATCAATCATTTCTCTGAACACCTCCCTCACCTTAGGCGAGTTCGGATCCCTCCCCCATCCGTTAATCAATATACTGAAATGCATATATGCCCATGAGTACTCTGCATCCAACATCTCCATCTCCGTCCACAAATATTTCATCCATGTGAAGGAGAGTCGGAACGTAGTAGCTCCACATATTGAAAACAGGCAATCAACCGTATATTCTAAAACTCTCTGTCCATTCCCACCGTCTTCAGTAGCTTGGTGAGGTCATAGGACTTGAAGCTTTTGCCATAACATAAACCCAGATCCAGCGGAGTTGTGCCGTCCTGGAATACACACAGCAGTTTCGGTAGTCAGTTTAACAGAAAAATCCTTGCTCCTTCTCTACTATATATGGAAGCAATCCGAAACGGAATTGTTTTCTTTTTCCATCAATTTTCCAGAAAGATGATAATCTCACTCAAATTTTGTTTCAAACTTTCAACATCCATTGCAGTGAACACAATTAGGGTTCTACAAGTTGTGTTTTGAATTGGAAAATATATTATTTGTTGGTTTTCAAGAGTCTGTAGACCTTGAGATCATGAACCACACCAATAACTGAACCAGCTGCAGCAGATAGAGCAACTGCAAGGACGAAAAGACTCAGGATTTGGAGGCAAATCCATCTCATGTTCCACTCTGCTATCTTCTTTTGAGCAATGTACATCTCCACAGGGAAGTAAACTGTGAGTGGCCAATACCCTAGAGCCCCGAGAAATCCAACCACATCGTTAAAGAACGGGAGAATCATGGAGATCACTGTGGTTAGAATCACAAAAAAGGTCATCCACACCAATTTGGAGAGGTTATGGTTGTAGGAACCAAAACCCGGGATTGGTATTTTGATGTCTTTTGTGATGAACTGGCTGTTTGGGAAACTTTTTGCTGCTGTTTTTCGACTAATGCGAAAATGGGTTGGGCGAAAACTTGGTATGCACCAACAAGGTGGATCACAACGGCGGCATTGGCTATGTCGATGAGCCAAAATGGGTTAGATAAGCCTTTGTCAATGAAGAGGTTTCCGGGAGCTATGCCTGCGAAAGCAGCGTGGCCCGTGCAGCCACATAGAATGTAGAAAATGGATGTCACTGCCAAACTAAATCGAGTGGCCTTCTTCATTGTCTTCATTTCAAGTGGTGGGGATTTAACTGTGTCCCGTTACATTTATATGGTTGGATTAATTACACGAAATCATCACGAAAAGTTTAAACATTGATAATTTAATTTGAAGAAGATATAAACCTGAATTTCAATGAGGATGATTGAGTAAGAGTACGCAAAAGCTGTGTTACAAAAGTGCATGGAAGGTCCTCCACATCTTCTGGGCAGGAGTCACAACCCCAATACTCATTCCAGTCATACTTCCCTTGATTTTTCGATTTTCTGGTATATCCACAAAAAACAAGACTGAACTAAATTTACAAGAACCATTTTAATCCTCAAAACCAAGTTCAAATTTTAAGGCATTGTTTGACATTCGAGTCTCGTGTCGACCTAGAGTTTGGGGTAACTCACCTTTGAATTTGATATCAAGCAGGGAGAATAAATGGAGGCGATTTTAATGTATTAATCTCAACTATTGATATCAAATTTAAAAGTGAGTGACCATGCATTTCTTGGTCACCTGGTGACGGCGAGAACATTTCTCCATTCAACATAGCAGTAATAGAGAAAACTATGTGTACCAGCGACTTTAGCAACTCCAGGGGCTAGTCCAATTCCTGAGTAAGTGAAGGACATGACTGCAGCAACAATGGAGAGTCAAGACAACTTATCAAAATTTGGAATTTGAGACAATATATTTTCTGAGATTCCAAATGCTAGCAGATAGGGATAGTAGCTGGTATGACATGGATCTTTTCCACCACTATTGTGGAAGCAATTAGACCTCTTTATAGCCCTGTTTAATCAACACGAAACTCATTAACTCAGAAAATATTATGTGATAAAAAATTATCAATTTCTTAATTGAGTTTAAACACTCGAGAATTACACCAGGCTTATAGAGGCTGTTACAGTATAGCCAATAGTAGCTCCAAAAAGGGTCAATTACTGAATAAAGACACACATTTTGACCCCAAGTTTACCTGAGAAATTCAAATTAACACAAACAAATGGGGATAAAGACCTTTGGAGAAAAGGAGGAAAAGAAAATCACTTGTTTCATATGTCCAAAACAATCAAAGTATTACGCAAAATTCACCAAGGTGGGATCGAACAGCATCCGAGTAGGTGCAGTTCTCTTCCCAGTGACGGGATCCCGATAGCAGGAAATGAGAAGTGATGACGGAGAGCATGACCATCACAACAGGACCAGCAATCCATCCTAGCTGAGCCATGGCCCAAGACCCAACCACAGCAGTGATTATGTGTGAACATGCAGTCCAAATAGTTCCTTGTACCACAAACAACGCAAAATTAAAATGAATAACAATTCAACATGAATTTACCGGTTTGTTTGGGAAGGCCATCGTCATCGATGTAGTTGGAGCCTCCCTGCACATTGAGTGAAACATCAATAACTGGGTTGTGATGAAGCTGCAGCTGCTTCCTTGCGGCAGTGTTGTCACCCATGAAATTAAAATGCAATTATGCAAGTCTCAGTGCCAAACAATTCTTTAGTGTTCTTCTTTAATGCATCCAAGTGTAGTTTAACGTTCATTGGTATTAGTATTAATGATAAATTTGATACTAACCAATATATATATGCTATTTGTTCGCTGAAAAAAAATATGCTGTTTATTGACTACATTATCCATTACGTGAAAATATTTTGGCATGTCTCTTATACTGCCACGTGGTGTAATTATCTATTTATCCTGGCTTATGTGTATTTATATAGTTTAACTTCATGAATAGATACACACGCACAGATACAAATATGGTGTTTCCAAATTACACCATATTGTCCATTGATGTTGGGATGGTGCTTACCTCCTAAATCGCCTTATCCTTGGAAATAGGTCAAGTGATTGACTGAGTGAGTGTGTCACTACTAAGTACTTCAAGTTAGAAGACAAGTTGAATGGATTATCGCACGTTAAAACAATATTGACTTCTAATCTAGCGCGTGGTTGTGCCTCATAAGCAATACTAGTATACTACTAGTAATTAAACATTTTCTTATTTAGATTAGATTAATTACATTTGCAGATCCATATATGCATAACCATATAAACAATACTAGTATACTACTAGTAATCTAACAGTATTCTGTACTGTCGTACAAAACCAAACAACTTCATCACATTGCAGTACGCATTCAGTTAAATGCCAAAACCATGTAGCAATGACCAATGGCAGTTCAGTAAATGATGCCTTTTTAACTAATCCAACGCAATCGCTTTAAAACCGAAAGATGCAACGTACTTTTGCTTCTTAAAAATACACGTTGCACGAATAGAAGCATGAGAAGTTGCACTTTTATGCAGTAGCTGCTTATGTTGTAAGAGTTTGGAGCTCAGGTGTGGAGGACATGTACTGCCTGCAACATCTGACCGCACTGCTGCAACGGCTAAAATTCATGAATTTCACTTCCTCAGCTCGTCCTGACCAATCGGACTGAAAGTTCACTCCGCCTCCAGATCCCCCACTTTTTGGATATAGACTAATCTGTTACTTTTCAAGCAGCTCTCACATTTGAACCTAGAATTACCATCCCCCATTCTACTTGAAACACTTCTTCTCGAACCATCAACATTTCGCTTATACAACAAAGACGAGTTTGAACTCTCTAACGGTTTCAGCTTATAGGCTTCATAAGCTTCATGCCTATGTGCCACAAAATTAAAGGCAACCCTAAATAGTCTTCCTAGGAACTAAGGGCAACCGGAGATTATCATGAAAAATCTGCATATTTCCTTTATTTCCATTATGACCTCAAAATTAAAGCGCAAACCATGACACTGATCATATCTGTCATTCCAAGTCGCTTTAGACACCAAATTAGCAATCAACAAAGGATTCAGATCAAGATGTTAATGTTTGTATTTGTATATATTCATTGTGTACGAGTGAGAAAGAATATGAACATTCCTCAGTGATTTACAGAGGCTGAAGCATTCAACCATTCTGAGAAAGACAAAACACAGTAACACAAGATAAAGGAGAGCTAAACCTGATTAGAAACCGACATAGCTGCCCAAAACCATCTGAGCCCTAGCTACTACAGACCTTCTAGAGATGCAAAATAGTTTTCTCCGGCCATGAGCAGTGAGTACTTGAGGAATTTGTTAGAGTCAAACTCCTGGTCCTCTACTCATTTGTTAGAAGTTCCCATCTTGCTCTTTCACTTGGCAAGAACCTAGAAAACCCAAAAGCAGTTTTACGTGACTCATTACCAAGTGGCATTGGTCTGTCTGGTAATTTGGGAATATCAATATCACCCTCCAACATCTTGAGGGCCTCAGAAATTGTAGGCCGAAGAGCAACCATAACATGAGCACAAAGAAGTCCAACAAGAACAAACCTCTCCATCACACCCTTTGGTCCACCCTCCCTTATTGCCTCATCAAAAATTTCATCCACATTCCCTGATTTCAGAACCATCCATGCCCAATCTGAGATCAAAATGAACGAAGAACTTGGATCAGAATTTGGTGAGTCCAGTACTTTCCTTCCACTCATGATTTCAAGAATCACAATGCCGAAGCTATAGACATCACTCTTCTCCGTCAGCTGTCCATAGAGGGCATATTCTGGTGCCAAATAGCCACGCGTGCCAGCAACCCTTGTGGTGACCTGAGATTGTCCCTCTGAACTTTGTTTTGCCAATCCAAAGTCCGCAACTTTCGCCTTCATTTCCGAATCCAAGAGTATGTTTGCGGCTTTTATGTCTCTGTGATAAATGGCAGGCTTGATCCCATAATGCAAGTAAGCAAGGCCTTTTGCCACATCTAGGATTATGTTCTTTCGTTGAGGCCAATTTAATCTCTCCTTGCTGCTCAATTGATCACTGAGATTCCCATTCGGCATAAGATCATAAACCAAGAACCTTCTTTTGCCTTTCAAATCATCACTTGTTACACAACAGCCTCGAAGTGAAAGAAGATGCCGGTGCCTTATTTTACTTATGATTTCAACCTCATTCAAAAAATCTTCATCTCCTTTCGAGTCCAAATCAACAACATGCTTCACCGCAACAAAACTCCCATCAGAAAGTGTTCCCTTGTACACAACCCCATATCCACCTTGCCCAATCATGTTCTTTTGAGCAAATCCACCAGTGGCTCTTTCAAGCTCGGATACAGCAAACCATTTTGCTCCTGAATTGGGCAGATAGTTTGCTCTGAAAGTAGTCACATAATCCTCATGAAGTGCATTTTGCTTCTTCTTCTTATCCCATCTCTTGTACAGAACTATAATCCCAACGGAAACCAAAACACCAATGACAGCACCCGACACCCCAAAACCCCATATCATCAAACTCTTCCCGCTCATCTCATTCATCTCCTTTTCGCGTGCGGAGCCATAAAGAGGCAACCCGAGAATGCAAGTAGCCGTTCCGCGATCACTCGGCCCCAACTGGTTAACAATCCCAGCAGCATACAACACAGTGAAGGCAAAGCATTTCTTGCCATTTGGGTCGAGACCATACAACTGCTCATTCACCAACTTGCCGGCCTCAACACAAGATTGACATTCTGTCAGTCCCTCTAAGTCTCCTTTGCAGGCGGTGTCCAGGGGGGTCAGTAGCCCGACCCTCGCTATCCAGTCCTGGACTGTTATTATCCCGGCACAATGAGAAGGGCTGCCCACAAACTGTGTTGAGTTAAAGCACATGGGGACTCGAGATGCAAGCGCGAGGGGTTCGAGTTTGGTCTGCAGATGCAAGAGGCAGGAGGATAAGGAGTTTGAGTTGGGGAGTTGGAAGAGTGAGGTTTCTCTGAGGTGTTGGGCAAGGCCTATGCCTAGGAAGCTTAGGAGGGTTTGGCAGCAGGATTTTCCGAGGGGGTCTATGCACACTGAATGGTCCCACGGTAGAGTATCAACGTAGCTGAAATCTATGGGACATGAAGAGGAGGAGGAGGAGGAGGAGGAGGTGGAGGTGGAGGTGGAGGTGATGGAGATTATGAATAGGAGGAAGACTAGGGAATATGGGAAGGCCTTATTCATCTTGATTTCCTGTGACTTCTGATAATTGTGGTGTTGGGACAGTTAGATGTTTAATAACGGATTATGTCAATTTACACCCGAGTTCGAATGTTATTCCGAGTAATTTAGAACAGATTAACGGGTCGTCGGTGAAACGAATAGAGTTTTTGGGGGTTTGAGTAACGCGTGGTCAAGAATGGTAGGCGATGGGTCAATGTGCAGACCAAACTCCTCATTTTATGTGGACTAGTATTAGTCGATAACTCGACATGTTTTTCGTATGTAGAAAGCTACTACAAAATTTTCCTAGCACGTTGTTGCGGATCGAAAATTCAACTTTAAATTATTTTGTAAGCACAAACACACACATATTCAAATATAGAGAAATTAAAATGGAGACTGCAGAGCGAGAGTAATGTCTAAATTTATACAATTTATACAAAGAACATTGTCAAATGTCTTGCTATTTACATACAAAAATGGTCAGCCTGCTATTTCCCATTGATAAATATCCTAGTTTTTCATTGGCACTGCCACTTGCAGATAAAACATTTCAAAAGATGAGATTGTTTATAGACACAAAAAAATGGGGAATTGATGTTACGATGGGCTATTTAGACGCATAAAATATGAAGGAACATTGTTCTTGTTTGTACAATGGATGAGAATATTGTTCAGTGCAGTACCAAATGTTTATTCTCGGAGCAGCAGCTGTAGACAAGTTTGTGTTATTGTAAAAAAAAAACAAAAAAAAAGGGAATGTTAAGAGATATGGAATAAGTTTTGTATATGAATGGATTTACACTGCTGAAAAAATAAGAATAAACTGCTAGAATAAGAACGAATTACAAAATGATTTGCTTATTTTGGTAAGAGATTAACAAATCAGGTATAATTTATGAGAGTAAATGTAAGAGCGGATAAAACACTTTAAATAACTGTAAGTTTTATAGAAAAACTTTTCAATCCAACATCATCCAAAACTATGAAATAACAGAATCTATACCAAGATAAAAAATAAATAAAAAATCATATAAACCACCTAGGTATAAAGAAATAAAAAGTAGATCAAAATTCAGGATCGACTTAAGCTTGGAGTTAACAAAATGGTTTTGAGAGTAGTAAATGTTCTGTTGGATTTGAGTTCCTTGTAATGAGATATCGACTCTGCACAAACAGTACAATGGCAAAAATGGTAGCCTATTTAAAAAATGAAACCAAATTAAATAAAGAGAAGGACGCTAAGATGAACGAAATTGAAACCCCAGACAACAAATTGATAGCTAGGAAGAAAGGAAAAAACGTGCATGAATAAAATTTTCAATTTCTAACTGCCCCTAATTTATAATTAAGCTAAGCAAATAAACAGTGAGCACAATACAATCTTAACAATAAGAACTGTCAAATAGCATCATATATTTATGAATTACTTTGCACAGAAATTTCAAAAATAGATAACTAACTTGTAATTTAGAAAGTTTGTCCTCCACTTGCTTATTGATTAAGAATCTAACTTTGGAAGAGAATTTCATGAGCTGCAAAACACAGTGAAACAAAGAAAATCAAACAAACACAAAAGGAGAATTCCATAGTTAGTTATTCGTTGATTATTCGAACTGATTGTGTTTTTACAGGGTTGACTATAATGATATAATTATTTTCATATTTTGTTAGATAACTCAATGTGTGTGTGTATATATTCATAGAGCTATATTGTACTGGTTGTGTTCTTGTAATTTCTATTTTCCCTTTAAAATTTCAAATCCAAAACCACCCATGCTTAAGTCAAGTTAATTCCCGTAAAAAAAATTATATAAAATTTTCTGACACCCATGTAAAACTTTAGCATGCATAGTTCTTTTAATTCCAACACAGAAATATTGGAATTTCCGACAACATACCAATACGAAATCAACTTAAACCGTAAAATCTGAAATTCCAATCCCAAAAACAAACTATAATTTCAAAAACCACAAACACGCAAAACCAAATTAAATCTGCAAACAGTTCAGAGTGATAAACAAAAATTTTATTAATCTCTTATATCTCACAAAAAAAAAATGGATATGCATGACCACTTCAGCTCTTAAAACTAAAAGGAAATATCAAGGTTTCTTACCCAAATCCATCAATTTGAATCAAATCTCTGCAGCCCTGCTTGGAATCCGTCTGAAATCACCTCGATGAACACAAATCTTATACATGCAGAACATTTTAGATTAAGTTGTGAGAATGAGTGATCATGAGATTAAAGAAACAACCAAATTCCAAACGAAGTATTAATTGTTAAATGTACAACATCAACAACAAAACTAAATTTTTACATATGCAACCCAAAGTTAACACTAATAAAAAAAGCATGAATCAAATGCATAAACAAAAGAAGATGTTAAAACATGAGAAAAATTACATGGAAAAGAAAACAATGTTAAATATCTTAGGTGTTCCATTTACAATTATTCTTTATTTCTGTATATTTAAAATACCAATCATTGATTTGGTAGAAACCAACACACAAATTAAACCCTATAAATTATGCAATCATAGTATGAGTAAGTAGGGATCGTTTTATTCCGAGGATTAGAAGGGCGGCTGCTAACCAACACAAATTAAACTTATAAAATTGAAAACTAAGTCAAACTAACAACAAAACAGTGACTGAGGGGATTTCGGACGAATTTAATTTAAACAAAAGTAAAAGGCAGCAAGTAAATTAAGTTGTGAATGAAATATGGATGAAAGGATAGTTCAAGGATTCTTCTCCACACATGAATCATATGCATACAAATCGATTTTCAGTTATTCTTCCTATAAACCATGAATGACAATACCCCAAATTAACTGTGAACAATACTAATTAACTCTCAGATTTTCCAAAGTTCATTGAATTGGACTCAACGACGCAACCAAATTATTCTTCTCAAGTTCCCTAACTATGAAAAGCATGATAGAGATACATCTCAAAGATCATTAAGTTATGTGAAAATCATAAGCTTTGATAAAGCATTCGTAACTATGAAAAGCATGATACTCCTACCAAGAATTTACTTAACTCAATCATGGCTAGTGACTTTTACTACTTACAAATATAAGTTCATAACGATTAGGTGAAATTCCCTTATATTCTAGCATCAAATCCTTGCATGCAAACTAAGTATGCATTCTTAATAAACATACAAGAATAAGTTTTAGTCATGATAAAACACTAAAAGGGAAGTCACTAGCCGCACAAAATCAAGAGGATGAGTTGGTTACAAACTTTCCTCATCGTGACATAACTGCAAGGTGAAGCAGTTATGGTTTTATGCGATCAAAACTGCTGCATGGTCACTCTTCTCGAACACTAGTTCATTAAATACAATCCCTATCAATTGTAGAGCCTCACAAGCCCTAGAGAAGAGAAGAACACATCCTTCATCCTAACCATTTTTCTGCAGTAAACTCATTACTGCAAACCCTAGTATTGATAGCTTTTTGATTGCTTGCTTCTGGTTCATTATGGCAAACTCTGCTAGTAATTTTAAGACATGGAAGCAGCAAATTGAGATGCATCTTGGCATGTTGGAATTCATCATCGCATTCTCTCAAATTCAGCCACCTGAATTAACAGACACAAGTCTAACTTCTGAGAGAGACATTTTTGCTATGTGCGAAATTCAATGGAAGAACACATCAGGGGTGGCATTCAAAAGTGTGACTTAGCAAAGCAGTACATGGCCAAGATTGAAGAAAAATATAAAAGATCTGATAAGGTTGAGACTGATAGACTTGATCGATGGCAAGTTTAGTAGTGTAGGGAGTGTCCAAAGGATCTGCTTAAGCTTGTCAATTTGTCTAACAAGCTTAATGCAATGGATGTAGCTATTGTAGACCACTTCCTTGTTCATTTGGCTTTGTACTCTTTGCCAAATGAATATGAACAAATCAAAGTGAGTTACAATACTCAAAAAGAGACATGGGATATCAGTGAGTTGATTTCCATTTGCTGTCAAGAGGAAGAGAGAATGAAGAAAAGCAATAATGAAGTTGTGAATCTAGTGCAGTATGGAAAAGGAAAGGCCAAAGCTTTTGAACCAACCAAAACTACCACTTTCAAAACAATCAAAGCTGCATTAACCAAGTCAGGTTCTTCTTATCTTGGCACCAAGAAACATGCTCCATTACTACCATAGCTGTCAAAACTAATCTTGCCTCCACTAGCACTGGTCTTAGAATTGACAAAGTTGATATTAAAAGTGTTATCATTGTGGTTCCACTGAGCATTTGAGAAAGAAGTGTGCTGCTTTTAAAGCTTGGCTTATTAAGAAAGGGATTTCAAAACCTGAAGGACCAAAGTAAGGAGCATTACAATGTCCAAGTTGGAAATGGAAAAAAAGTCAATGTTGAGTCAGTTGGTCAAGTCATGTTAAAACTCTCTTCTAGTTATGTTTTAGTGTTAAATAATATCCTTTATGTACCTTCCATAAGAAGGAACTTACTTTTAGCTTCAATGTTTGTAAGGGATGGTTTTTCTTTCATTGGTGATGACAATTGTATTCATTTTTTCCTTTAAAATAAGTATGAAAATTTGCTTGGTTATGCATCATTCAATGGAGATCTCTGGCAGTTACAATGTTCTTATTTTCATGAATGTCTCAATGTGGAAACCTTAGCTCCTAAGAGATTGGTCACTAATAATGATTCTTCCATGTTATGATATCAAAGATTAGGACACATCTCAAGAAAACGATGCTGAGATTAATGAAAATGGGACTATTGCAGCACTTAAATTTTGAAGGGAAAACCACTACATCTATTAAAAAGACTAGTTCCACTAGAAGCCAAGGTCTATTAGAAGTCATTTACACAGATGCTTGTGGTCCATTTCCAACAAGGATAATTTGTGGGAACTGTACCTTTGTGCTCTTCATAGATGACTACTCTAGGTAAACTTATTTGTATTTAATCTCTGAAAAATCTCAAGTGCTAAATTATTTTAAAATTTATAAATTAGAAGTGGAAAAACAACTTGGGAAACAAATTAAAGTAGTAAGATCAGATAAGGGAGGTGAATATTTTGGAAGGTATCCAAAAATGGGACAACAAAAAGGGACCCTTTGCTTTGTTGCAGCAAGAAGGGAACATAGCACAATTTACAACACCAGGAACCACATCTCAAAATGCATTTGATGCTAAAATATAAGGGAGTTTACCTAATAGTTATGAACTTATATTTACAAGTAGTGGAGGTTGCTAGTCACGATCGCGTTAAGTAAATTCTTGGCAGGAGTATCATGCAGTTCATAGTTCCAAATGTCATGTCAATGCTTATGATTTTCACATAACTTAATGATCTTTGATATGTATCTCTATTATGCAGTTCATATAGGGAACTTGATAAGAATAATTTGGTTGCGTCGCTGAGTCCAATTCAATGAATTTAGGAAAATCTGATGTTTAATTTGTGCAGTTACCGGTTAACTTGGGGCATTGTCATTCATGGTTTATAGGAATAATAACTGGAAATCGATTTGTATGCATATGTGTCATGTGTGGAGAAGGACCCTCTAGCAAGCTTTTCACCCCCTTAAGTCACCTGAATTCCGTGCAACCTTTACTTAGTTCTGCAACTTATTAGTTTTAAGTCAATTTTCATCCAAACAAACCCCCCTTAGTATTTCGTGTCAATTTACTTAGATTTTCGTCCAAATCACCCCTTAGTGCTTGTTTTGAGTTATTTGAGTCAGTCTAGCTTAGTTTTGTGTTATTTGAGTCTAGTTTTCAATTTTTGAGTTAAGTTAGTGTAGATTAGCATCTCTTGTAATCCCCGACCTAGAACGATCCCACTTTCATATACTACAAGTATCAAAAAGAGGGTTTTAATTTGTGTTAGTTTCTACCACTATCACTAGTGTCCGGCAAACTTTAAATGCACCAGTAATGACAACAAAGGAAAATCCACATCCGGTCGGACATGGAAATTGTTGACAGAAAATTTGTAAACATGAATCTCTCTGGTCAACAACTCATTTCTCTCACACAAGGCAACTGTAGCTACACCAACGCAGAGGTGCGGGATGATGAACTGGAGTTCTCAATATCATAACAATCTGGATGCCAGAGATTCATTACATCCCATTCGTAATATTTTCGTGACAGCGTTAATATACAAAACCATAAACGAAAGTAGTCCTCACCAGGGATTTTACAGATAAAAATGAAAGTCTTGTAAATTTGTAATAGAAAACGGAAGCGAAATTCATCTCATCCTGCTTTACAGCTGCAAACCGGCAATTTCCACAGCACATGCTTCGTCGCTCCCAAAGAGAAACGTTTGTGAACGCTAAACGTATCAAGCTCTAAAGAATGATCGTCGTATAAAATATTAAGAGAGTTCCTCCTTGTTGAACTTGTTCCAAGCTTCCTGTTCCAGTAAGAAACCAACGCTTAATAAAGCCTTAATATAGATACTTTGCTTGTATTAAATATTTGATGCGTTGATAGAGGTACCTTAAGGATATCGAAAACCTTCTCTGCAGTATATTTTTGTTCCAGACTAGCACCTTTCTGTTGAACCTTATCAGGATGGACACACAATGTGGCCTTTCTATAAACCTTTTTGACTGAACCAGAAGTGATCAAATCTGTCAATGAAACGGGTTCCCATCCAGATTCTGCCCAAAGGACCTGTTAATCATTCCCGAAAAGAACAAATTAGTTGGTACTCAACAGGTTTTATGACATCTTGGGTGATGACGCAAATAAGGCCCAAATTCTAAACAACTCAGAAATCGAAGGTCAAACATTATTGTACAAGAAAGCAAGTGAAAGTTTCAATTTTCTTTCAGACGTCATTGTACACGTAACTCTAACATACTGCCTTCAGATGTTGTGAACGCGTAATTTTGAAATCTTATAAAGCTCAGAATTCAAGTGAAAGATAACTAAAAAACCGTTTAAACTTTTATAGTAAGATGTTCAAAAAACAAAGAAAAGGGGAAGACAAAGGACAGCCGATCATTTATGGTGCACTCAAAAACTATAGTTTATGCAAAATATTCAAAGCATACTTCTATGTAATATTACATACAGATTGCAAGGATGACAGTAATGCGCGCATGTTGCCTTCTTTCCCATAAGACCAGCTCTTTATTTTAATATCCAAATTCTCGGCAATTCTCTGCAAAGCAATATGAATAATACAACTAGGTCAATAAATATAACAACTGTGATGTAAAAACAAAACCATATAAAAGCACGAAATACAAGCCACTCCTAGACCCAAAAGATATAATTTACAGCATATTTTAAGATTGAAGATAGATAACCAACCAATTTGTAAAGAATCCCCATGCACAAAATCATGAAATACGTGCCAATGCAATGGATTAAATAATACTTACACGTCTATCTTCTTGCTCCTGCCGAGTCTTCCTATCACGTTGGTTCATATCAGCCACTGCTTGCAACTAATTAAGGAGGAAAAGAACAGTCAAATTATGCCAGAGTATAGATACAAAAATAGTTAAGCCTAAATCTACAATAAATTCGCAGGCCAGTCCATCATGAACATTATCTATGTTCTATAGATCTTAGATCCAGCATCAAGATGATGTAGCTGAACCTTACGAGGATAAATAACATTTAATTTTTAATAACTGTTTTTCACCTAGCTTATGACTGAGTAACATTATGCTCAAATTGCGAACATTGCATTATCGCAGTGCAGGTAATAACATGGAAAGGGGTCAAAAGAACGAAACAAACCCCGAAGGTATAGTAAATTTTAGAATAAAAAAGGTCTTGTACAATTCATGTTTGTTTATTGTGTCCTTTTCCAAGTAACTTCTCTCTATCTGCTCCTCACTTTAGCTAGTTCATTTGTATGGACCTTCCTTTTGCAGTCATCAAAACACAAAAAGAGACAAAGAAGAGCAATAAAAGAAAAACAGCAAAGTGATAAGAGAGAGAAACACAGACCGCACGCTGCTGTGATCTCTGGTGACGTGCCAATCTGGCTCTTCGTCTTTCTTCACTTTCGCCTTCAACTTCCTCAAATTCTACAAACCCAGTGGAAGCTGATGCAAACAATAATATCATAGAAATCGGCAAAACAAGAGGCTTTTCTACAAATGAAGTAGAACTTTTAACAACTAATTACCTCCATCCATCGAAAAAAGGCCATCAAAAAGACCAGTTGCAGATGAAGACTTCTTCATGCTATTTGAGGTAACAGATGCCCTTTGGGGCGTAGGTCTTCCTCTGTTGTTTGTCTGCGAATCAAATACTGAGTCCTGGAAATTGCACGAGTTAAATAACTACATAAGTCACTGGTGTTGGAAATAGCATCTTACTAAAGTTATGCTTCTCACCAAATTTGTAGGTTTTGACCTTGGTACACTGTTTGATCTGAAACCCATTAGATCATCTTCAATCAATCTGCCTCGTCTGGTGGCTGAGGTCTCTACCCTTTCTTCATAAGAAGGAACATTTGTGCGTCCAGTTGCATTATTTCGCACCGTAGCTCTGGCAAATTCCTCAAGTTCATCAATAGAAGACACACCAGAGCTCCTTTCTGCAATCAATTAAGTGTGTAATGAAGGGAAAAATAAAATTCAACTTTGCTTTTTAACTTGAGGAAGGAGGAAAACCTTTATCTCCCTTTGAAGCTTGTGCTGACTTTGGAGGGGATTTCAACTTTGTGGAACTATTTGATGAAACGCCGGGTTTTGCTCCTCCAGAATTGCTGAGCTTACTGATCTGTTCCAGTTCTGAAAAAATATCGGAGGAATCATATCCAAGTGTTGAAGCTGAAGTAGAAACTGACTCTAACACCACAAAGGGGTCGTCCATAGATGAACCGAAGTTTGATTTAGTTGAATGAACGGTTGATGGCAGAGGACGATTTTCGGGTGCTCTGAACATAAAGATTTTAAAATGAGAACATCCGCGTTTCTTACCCAGGTTACTTATAGGGACATTAGTAACTACATTATGGCATCCATACACAAAAGTCATACAACTTGCTATGATCAAGTAAGTCGGAGTAATCACATCCGAGAACAAACCAAGGTAACACGCACATTTGAACAACATTTCCATTTTCATTCAACAGAAGTATAAGAGTAATTTACAACAGTAAATGCAGTAGGCTGAGACAGCGATGAGACTAAACTGTGCTGCATTATATATGGAATGTTAAACTGGAAAAAAACAACACAATGTATCACCGAAATTACGAAAAATCTAATGAAATCCCATCTTTTAATGATTAAGCTAGCCATAAAAAGAAGATCATCAATTGACATTAAACTAAGACGACATAAAAAAAATTGATTAACTGATTAACCTATCATTCGGTTGATCAAAACAAACATACCCATTATTGGAAGGGGTGCTTCCACCAAACCCCGGAATCAAATCATCAAAATCGCCTCCCTTCTTGGCCACCTTTCCGGCCGAATTAACATTTCTATCGTTCTTCACGTTCAATCCTTGCAATTTTTGTCTCACTCCGCTAAGATCACCCAGCAAGTCATCAACCGGAGCACTCTGCTTCGAACCGGAAGCAAATGACCCGAAAATGTCATCATCTTTTGCACTACTCTTACCAGAACTAGAGCTCTGAAGGCCAGGCATTCCAGCAAACACATCGTAGTCATCATTATAGCCACCAAACGACGACGTTTTCGCATTCGAACCCACAAACATCGAGTCGAAATTGAAAGAAGAGCCACCCGACTGCTTTACTGGCTTACTGGGTGCGGTGAAGATGTCGTCGTAGTCGTCCAATCCTCCAAAGCTGCGTGTTTTGTCGTTAGAGCTCGACTGGAAAAGCCCGTTCGGACCATCAAAGAAGGACGCGTAATCGGAATTGGGATTGACGGGAGGAGATCCGGAGGAGTACGACGACGTTTTGGTGCTTACACCCGAACCGACCCCGAAGTCCCAGGATTGGGCGTCGTTGGCGGCAGCGGGTCGTTTCGATGAGGCCATCGGAGCCGATTTTCCTTGGGGCTTCAACCCAAATCGCTCCGTCAACACACCGAACTCGTCCATATCGGAATTCGACAGAAATTGGTCACAACTGAGCTACAAAGAAATCGAATTTTGGGAAAAGAAAAGGTGGGTTTGATCGAGCTAAGAAAAACTCTGAGAAAATTACGAACTTTAAAAATCTGTGTTTTGTATAATTTTGATATATGATCTACAGATTCTACAGTGCGTGTAATTTGAGGGGGAGGGAGAAAAAATGAAATTTTCTGCAGGAAAGGGGGAATTGGGTTTCAGATGGCGAGGACGAATTGGCGGCGATCGGGTGATGGGGAGAGTGAGAGAGAGGGAGGGAGGAGGGCGTTGGATAGTTTTCCGGGGATTTGTGTGAAAGAACGCGGCTTTTCTCTTTTTTCTTACTATCTCTGTCTCTCGCGATTCCCCTCTCTGTCTCTCTCTCTCTGTAGTGGCAGACCACGACAGTTGCCACGCAGCTTCACAAATGCTATAATTTTTTTATGAGAATTATTATTAGCACTCCAAAAATCTTATTTTATATTCCAAACTTTCTATATTAAGAAAGAAAAATACACTTATGAGTAGTGTAGAATAAGATTTTTGGAATGCCAATAACACTTCCATTTGTGATTTATTCTTCAATTTTCACTTTTTTTTTTTTTAATTTCATTGGATTTTAAAAAGTTTTTTTTATTAGCACCCATATAATATTAAATCCACCTCAAATGTGCAATGACAATTTTAACTTCATAAAGTTAAATAAAAAACCTAAATACACCCCAAATCACAACTTTAACATGTATATCCTACAATTATTTTTCTTCAACTCTCAAAACCAATCTTATCCTCTATTGTAGTACAAAACCTAAATCAATGAAATCACAAACACATTGATCACAACTTTAGAGCACAGGGATATTGATCAATAGCCTTCTGATTTTCATTCACCGTACCACTACAAACTTCATCTCCGTATGAAATCAACAAATCTGCCTTGTTATGACGATTTTCACAGAGGGGACTCAGAATTTGCAGATTCTCATTATGGCGCTTCAAATTACACCCAAACAGGAAGGGAAGGAGAGGAGCGTCCAAGTCAAGCTACTCGCCCCTTTGGCTGTGATACCAAAAGCTCTCGCAGATGCACATATGATTGGTTGTTTTGTACATACAATGAAAATCTTCAATCCAATGATTCATGGGGACATTCTATCAACCCCACATTCTTCTTCAACCTGGTTTTATTGAGTAAAATTTTTTTTTTTTAAAATGTGGAGTGGAGTGTAGGTAAAAAAATGTGGGGTGTATGTTGAGAGTATGGGGTGTGAGGGTATTAAGATCAACTCCAGCATTTGTAGTAGCCCGGTGGACCGGGGACTTTTTCAAGTCAATTGCCTCCCTTCTTTGCTCCAACCCATGCAGGTGATTGGGCTGAGGGGGGGCCCGAGTGAGAGGGAGGGCTCAAATCGCAGGCTCGACCGCCTGAGGCCAGATGATCCAAGACTGACGTCAGCCATGTAATTAAAAAAATTTGCGTCAGGCGTATGTTGCACAAGTGTGCGTGGGGGCACGTCATTGACAGCTTTTCAGTCAGTGGGGCCCATGATTTGATTTTGAAATTTTACCATTTCCTGGGGGCACGCGGCAGCTTCTAGGCCATTGGATTTCAACGGATAATTATTCTGGACCATTGGATTTCCAACAGTAAAAAAAAATTCAAACCTCCTCCAAACGACTAGATGACATGGCACAATATCAGCTGTTGGATTTCAAATCAACGGTCCATGTTATTCGCCTTTAAAAATTAAAAAATTAAAAGAAAAAAAAAGAAAAAAAATCAGAAATCTTACCATTGTGCGATGTGGCACAATTTGGAGGGTTGGATTTCAATTTTTTTTAATCCAACGGCATAAATTAATTAAGTTAATAAAAAAATTTAAAAATTAAAAAAAAATTATTTTACTTTTGTATAAATACATTCTCATTATCTTCTACCTTCCACCACAATTTCATATTTTCTCAAATACTTTCAACCACATTCCAATCTTTCTCTCAAGGTTTCAATCCAATTGGTTTCCAACAAAATGACTAATGATGCAGGTATGAATTGGACACTTATTGAAGATGTTACATTGTGTTCTAGCTAGGTTGAAGTTACTCATGATCCGATAACGGGTAATGAGATGTAGTTGCGAGAAATGTGGAGTCTTATTCATACCCTTTTTCTTGAGAAAATTGATGGGAAAGAACGAAAGAATTGTTGTCCAGTCGTTGGAGAATACTCAGCCAATCATTTACTCATTAGAGAAACGCCTTGGCACAAGCTAGTAGTAATATTTGAAGTGGAGAAAATTTTGCAGATCAGGTAACAATATATTATTTATTTGTTTGTACCATACCCAAATTTACATTAGCTACTTTGATTATAATTATTTCTTCTCCTGCATTGTGTAGACACTTCAAGCACAAGCTTGGTATAATGCCAAAAACAAAAACAAATCATTCACCCCGTGGGAATGTTGGAATATTGTCAAGGATTGTCCTAAATTCAGAGTTGTGCATGTCGGTCCAAAAGTTGTCATGAACAACACCCAACTACACTCTACGCCCGATCATGACTTGCATGTTCATGAAAGAAACACAGAATAAGTGCCGAAAGCGACCCCTGAACAAGGGTTGGGGTTGACCCGTTATCCAAGTAGGCCTCAAGGTAAAAAGGCTTCAAAAAGAAAAGGGAGTGCTTCCAAGGTGAACTTGCTCGCCAAGGTGAATTGACTTTGGATCGGGAAATGGCTAAATTTGAGGCTGATAAGGCTGAGATGAGGCAAAAGTTCCAACTGCTGAGAGATTATTTCAAGTTAATGAGAGAGAAAGAGAGCTACTTAGGCAAGAAAGGGAAGATCGTAAAGAAAAATGAAGGGCTCAACAAGATCATGACATTATGAATGAGCCTGTAGAGGTGATGTCTCCAAATTCTAAATATTTTTGGAATTCGGAGAAAGTGGACGTGGTGCGAAGGAGGCGTGCAAGAGAAGCGAGAACAATAAAAGATGGTCCTAGCACCACAAATTAGTTAGGTGATGATTTTCCATTCACAAGGGACTAGGGAATTTGTTTTTAATCGGAGCCCATAATTTTCCAATCACTTTGAGTTGTAATTTCTTATTTATTGAATAGAGTACTTTATGTTGTTTACAATTTATTGAATTTAGTACTTTGTTTAAACTAAGAGTATATTTATTTAATTTGGTACTTTATTTAAACTAACAGAATCTTTATTCAAAGGACATAAACACACCAAATAAAATTACATAAACATACCAAATAAAATTAAATAAACACACCAAATAAAAACAAACACACTGAATGAACTTAAGTTTCTTGAGCTTGTTTCAATTCCCACTAGTGCTCTATCAAGTCAATTTGCCGGGCTTTGTGAATGTATGAGTCATGAAGTGAAGTATATCGTTGAATGAGCCCTTCATTGTAACGTCCATCCTTTTGTAATGGCTCATGTTGCATAGGTTCTTCGGTGGCATCATGAGCACAATATATTTATGTTTTGGAATTGTTCATCATGTCTGGCTCATATTCATCAATGGCATCATAATCATGCTCATACTCATCTTCCACAATCATGTTGTGAACACGCTGGAAAAACCGTTGCATCTCATTGAAGAAATACTTGTTTGAAATCGCACCCGCACCTGATCTGACACGATTGTGTCCACCACCACTCCTGCTGCTTCACGATTTCCCAGAACCTGCACCACACCATCCTGCTGCACCACGACCACTACTTCGCACTTGCCTGATGCACGATGTACTTGACAGCATCGCACCCATCTACACCCGCACCCATTAAAGCTGCATCTCTCGACCCTAATCGAACTATGTGATCCACAGTTCTCATGATCTGACGATCGGTTTTCTTGTCCAGAAGCTCTTTACTCCACAAGGTGCTACATTAGTTGTCTGCTTGGATTGGTTATTGAACCAAAAGGCCCACAATCTTGTCTGATAGTTGTTTGTTAGCCTACATTGCAAAAGGAAGTGAACATGAAGGAAGGAGACGACTTGTTTGCAATTAAGGGAAGATGAAAGGAAATAAACGTCAAATAATGAGTAATGCTAAAGAGACTAAATTTGTAGATAAAATTTTGAAAACTAAAAGACATGGAAGTTGATCGTTAGTTCATTACTTAAATGTTGATAAACAAACTTATTCATATTGGTGACGCATCATTTAGTTTGCAAATTTAGTTTCCCCATTACCCTTAAATAATAGGGTAAATCTCAGTTTACTACTCTCAAGTTTCGTGGTTTTCAACATTTGGTACATGAAGTTTTTTTCGTACTAGAGTCATACCTAAAGTGTTAATTTTGGAACAGTCTTATACATCTATTAGTCTAGCTGTTAAGTCTCCGGTTAACTGATGACATGGCACCCATGTGGATAATGACTGGATGCCACGTGTCATTAAAGGGTTCACGTGGAAATTAAAAATTAAAAAAAAACATTTTTTTAACCAAATAAAAACCCTTTTGTTACTCGTCTTCCTCCCAGAGGAAGTTCGATCCGCCCATCCATCCCCAATCCCCTCCTCCATTCTCTCTTCCGCGTCCCACCCAACCTTCCTCTCCTACCTCACCCTCTGGCCACCTCTTCTTCCAGATTAGCTGGACCCACTTTTCCCTGCAAATACCTCAAAACCAATGGAGACTACGAAGAGTTCTTACACAAACTCTAATCTCCTTCAAGAACATCCAGTAATTTGATTACAAAAGCAAAACCCAATTACCGGAATCCAAAATTAAAATTATCAAAAGCTAAATCTTCTAGGCCACACAATTGCCTCCTGTAAATTCTACTTCAAACTGAAAAATTCAAGCAAAACCCAATTACCCAACAACCACCTGCAAATCAAACTAAAATATTCAAACAAAATTCAATTACCCAACAACTTCTGCAAATCATAAACTCAAAATTGGGCATGTGGGAGGACAGGACTTGTGAGCTTGTTCACTTTGTGAACCTTCTCGTTGCAAGCCCAGCACACGGTGGGAGGACAGAAATCATAAACTCAAAAATAGATGCTTGCAGCGATTTGACGAGGGGGAAGGCTAATTGGATACTCACGGTGGGTATTTGATGAGGTGGGTCCGGCTAATCTGGAAGAAAAGGTGGCCGGAGGGTAAGGTAGGAGAGGAATGTTGGGTGGGACGCATAGGAGAGAAGGGAAGAGGAGATAGGGGATGGATGGGCTGATATAACTTCCTCTAGGAGGAAGACGAGTAACAAAAGGGTGTATTATTTTATTTTATTTTTGTGATAAAATTTTTTTTTAATTTTTTTAATTTTTAATTTCCACGTGGACCCCCTTAATGACACGTGGCGCTCAATCATTGTCTACATGAGCATCAC